ATCTTTCTTCTATCATTGACAGTCCCTCTAGGTTGTGGGCTGCTTGCCTGTGTTCCTGAGAAGCATCTACGGTACCAGTCTATAGAGTGTGTTTTCTTTAGTGAATTACCGGTATGTTTACCGGTAATAAACTTGCACTGTTTTATGTATATGTTTGATTACATACAGCCTTGTGACAGTTTTCCTGCATGTCATAAGCATTTGAATATAAATTAAAATGTTAAAATCAAATCTGATATTGTTTTACCTTTTATTTGGTGTGTGGAAGGTGTGCGGAAGAGGGGGTAGTCTTATACGGCGAGTATATAACAAACTCTGTATTTTGAGTGGAAATGTTAGGGGGTCGTCTTATACGCCCAGTCGTCTTATACGCCGGCAAATACGGTACATTTATTGAAAAAAATCCACATATAAGTGGATCCAGTGGTGCATTTCAATCTTATGTTGTTCAAGGATTAACTGTACCTTTAGCCCAGCCAGTGGGCTCAGTGGTTGAGTGTCAACCTATGAACCAGGAGGTCACGGTTTCATTCCTGGTCAGGGCACATGCCCAGATTGCAGACTCGATCCCCAGTGTGGGGTGTGCAGGAGATAGCCAGTCAATGATTCTTTCTCATCACTGATGTTTCTCTCTCTCTCTCTCCCTCTCCCTTCCTCTCTGAAATCAATAAAAATATATTTAAAAAATAAAAACTGAAACAGGTTTAACATTGCAAATATATATTTAAGTACTGACAACTCAACCACTTTTAAAAAGGTTAGATCAAATAAGTTCTTAAATACTACAAAAAAGCAATGCTTAAGTTAATGCAAGAATTGACCAATTCTTTTCATTTTAAATGCTAATGTGACCAAAACCACACACTTACTGACCTTAAACAGAGCTTTCGTGTCTTGTGGGAGAGGGCACACGTGCTCACACTGTGGCTTCGTCTGGAAACCTCGGTAACGACTGGGTTGGCTGTAATCATGCTGGGAGCCAGGCATTGGGCAAATACTGTGTGCAGACTCCAGGGTGTAAGGAGAAGGGGTGTATGGGTGAAGAGCCAACTCGGAAGATAAATACTGAGGAGGAAATGTTGAAGCTCCAAAGGCCATATCTTCAGGATAGAGTGTCTGCCTAAATAAAACGGGTAAATTTTAGTTACAGATTTCATACCACAAATCAGGGAGTTTAATATTCTATAATAAAATTGTTTTAACTTTTGTTACTTTGGAGGCCATTCACTCTACACTGAAATGACTCTAATTACTAAAAGCTAAACGAAACCACTGAGCCCTTCTTTCTTATCCTGCAAAAACAGATGCTGACCTAGTTTTATTTTTTCACTACTGAGCTGGAACACCCTGAACAGGAGCCTGAAGGTGCCCCAGTAGCTTTTCATTCTCAAGACGTCAAAAATTCGGGAAAGACTCTCAGTGACTCTGGCCAAAGGGGCCATCCAGACCACCCTCTCTACAGAGGCTCCCACTGACCAAATCTATCCTCCATCCCACGCCCTGCAGGGCCTCTTCCCGCGGCCTGCAGACTTCCTGCTGCAGCGCTTTGCGGCTCCAAGCCCACCACCTGTGTTCCCGACCTGCAGAGCCAGAGCTGCAAAGGGACGCTGCGCGCACACTGGTCCGGGAATTACAGACCCTGCTGACCAGATGGACAGCATCTGTGAACACTGCCATGGCTCCAATTTGCTTGAGCTGCTAAACTAAACCAAAATACAATGTAACAGTGATTTTATTTTTTTTTTAGCAAATACTGCCAGAGGATTCAACCATTTTGAAACGAAAGCTCATACACTGACAAAATGCTAAAAAGCTGAGTTAAAACACAAATCATAACCTTTTCATTCCCACAAATAAGCACTGAATGTTTCTGTGGATTTCTACAGCTGAAAAATTTCTTGTAGCAAATCAATGAAATCCCAGTGTGCTGGTCCACTGAAAAGCAGGAGAACCCAAAGCTAATAACAAGACACTCTACATGATCTTCCACCTGTATGACCGTCAGGAGATGCGGGCCCAGGTCCCAGCATCCTTATTAAACGTCCTCGTTCTACTCTGCTGCGGGTTAAGAACCTGTACGGAAGCAGAAAGGGAGCCAGTCTACAGAGGGACCTGGAAGACACCCGTGAGGATGGGCACTGCTCTTGTTTCCATGCAGGACGTAACCACAGGCTGCCTGGTATCACTGCCTATCCTATATAATAAAGAGCTAATATGCTAATTAGTCCAAACAGCAGAAGGACTGTCCAGATGACCTTCCGGACGTAGCAAGGGCAGAGCCCCTTGCACGAATTTTGTGCATCAGGCCTCTAGTTAATTCATGATATTTTAAGGTTAGATCTTGTAAAATATTTTACTCATTGCCAATTTATTCTAGTAATGAAGCATTCTTAATTAAAAAACTAACAAAACTGGCTTTTGTCTGCCCCCTAGACGACTAGCTAGTGCTGCCCCTTGAAGAGGGAGACTGAAAGCTGTGTCCTGTTCCTCAGACAGACACTACCCCTGGATGTGACTCCTATTTTATTTTGTTTGATGCTCAAAAAATCGAACGGGGGTCAGATGAAGGTGAGAGATACCTGTTCTTCACAAGACAGGCAAAGAAGTTGGGTTGATAGGGAAAAAGTAACAAAGACTATCCCAAGCCCAAAATCTGGGTAAATGAACAGATCAATGAAATTTAGGTAAAGAAGAAAAGGGGGATAGATCCAATGGGGTTGTTTAAGAAAGATGGAAACATCGACTAATTGTTCCACTTCTTCATGCATTCATTGGTTGATTCTAGTATGTGCCTGGACCAGGGATCAAACCCGCAACTTTGGCTTATCAGAACAATGGTCTAATCCAGGGGTCCTCAAACTACGGCCCGCGGGCCACCTGAAAATACAAATATTGCCGAAACCGGTTTGGCTCAGTGGATAGAGCGTCGGCCTGCGGACTGAAGGGTCCCAGGTTCGATTCCGGTCAAGGGCATGTACCTGGGTTGCGGGCACATCCCCAGTAGGAGATGTGCAGGAGGCGGCTGATCGATGTTTCTCTCTCATAGATGTTTCTAACTCTCTATCTCTCTCCCTTCCTCTCTGTAAAAAATCAATAAAATATATAAAAAAAAGAAAATACAAATATTGTATTTGTTCCTGTTTTGTTTTTTTACTTCAAAATAAGATATGTGCAGTGTGCACAGGAATTTGTTCATAGTTTTTTTAAAACTATAGTCCGGCCCTCCAACGGTCTGAGGGACAGTGAACTGGCCCCCTGTTTAAAAAGTTTGAGGACCCCTGGTCTAATCTAACCAATTGATCTACTTGGCCAGAGCCCCAGAAGTGGTTTTGAAGGCTGTTGTCATCCAGAAAATTTTCACCTTTGAGTTAGTAGACCTTCCTTGCTTTGTGTCCCGGCTCTATCACAACCTAATTTTCCACTTTGAACGTCTCATCACTGGTCCTTCTTCCTCTGGAAAGATATTTCTCTTTCCATCCTAGGTAAATACAGTGATTTGCAGAGAACAATACAAAACACAAAATCTCACAGAGACAACTCACAGCATCTGTTGGGACTTCAAATAGCTTCCTGTAAAATCCCAGTCGCCACAAACTGCCCAGATGAGCCTTAACCATAACGACACCATCTCCTGTATGCCCACCTTCTCAATCGACACCCGCTTGATATCAGCGCTCAACTCCGCCATGTTCTTGTGCAGTACGTGCCGATCCTCCGCTCCACCTCTCCTTGCCCCATCCCCACCAGCGATCCTGAGTCTCCAGGACTTCCTTCCTGCCATGCTGCCACCGCTTCTGCACGCCATGGGCTAGGTCTGCCCCTCCATCACATCACTAGAAAAGCTTCTCGGGCCTGGACTTGCAAGGCCTGCCCTCTTCTTGCTCTCACCCACCTCCCAAAGGCTCCTCTATGGCATGGCTTCCTCTGCACTCTATCTAACCTGTCAGACTCATGAGCCAAACCTCTCATCACTCTGCTCAGGATTTGCATCATTTCCACATAATAGTTCACTTTCCCCCCATCTGGCACATATAAACCCAAAACTTAACGTCTGGTCCCCGAACCAGCCCCACTTCCAACTTGTGTTCTCATGAGTGATCCCATGAGTCTTTCTAGGTATTCAACTGGAAACTGCTTACACCTTTCCCACCAACACCCTAGGGACAACCATAGAACTCTTTCTTCTTATAGCAGGTCTCCATGTATTTCCTTCTGTTTCCCATGCCTGGAACCCAGTCAAAGTCTTCAAGCCCCTCTCCCTTAAAGTCAAACCAGAATCCAGAAGTGAACCCAAAAGCTCCCTATTTCGTACTCACCAAACCTAAACTCTCAGCTGTACTATGTAGGCTTTTATTTATTTTAAAATATTTTTTTTAATTTTTTTTTTAGAGAAAGGGAGAGTGAGAGAGAAAGATCAATGTGTGAGAGAAACATCAATTGGATGCCTCCTGCATGCACCCCAACTAGGAATTGAGCCCGCAACCTGGGCAAGTGCCCTGACCAGGAATCGAACTGACAACCTTTTGGTGCAGAGGACAATGTTCAACCGAGCCACACTGGTCAAGGCACTAATTGTCTAATGGTGCCCCCTTAACAAAAGGAACTCACTCCTCTGCTGTCTTCCCAACACATCTTTTACCTGTTCCCTTCAGTCAGGCCAGCTCCTGTCAGGGATCCAGCCACTCACTCCTCCAGCCACCAAACTGATCTGCGCCATAGTGTCAGCACTGCTAGTTCTCAAAGCTAGCAGGTTTTACCTTAAAAGCATCACTTGGGCATTGTGACTTTCCACAGCATATACAAGATGCTGAAAATGCTCAACAAACTCTTGCCAACAGCAATTGCAGCCTTGGGACATATAACTGAACTCAGGTTAAAAGAACTGAGTGCTGGTTCTGATTCTGCTGTTACCTACCTGAATAACTTTGGACAAGCAAGTCTAACCTCAGTCTCATGTGTAAAAACAGCACTACCTCCCTGTCAACCTCACGGATGTGACAAGCATGAAAAAACATATACAATACTCAAACAAAATACAACAGAGAACTTATTTTGTCTGCAGAACCCAGCCGTGGGCAAACTACGGCCCGCGGGCCGGATCCTGGCCGTTTGAAATGAATAAAACTAAAAAAAAAAAAACAAAAAAAAAAAAAAAAAAAAAAAAGACCGTACCCTTTTATGTAATGATGTTTACTTTGAATTTATATTAGTTCACACAAACACTCCATCCATGCTTTTGTTCCGGCCCTCCGGTCCAGTTTAAGAACCCATTGTGACCCTCGAGTCAAAAAGTTTGCCCACCCCTGCAAACTGTTCATTACACAATAAATAATTAGTACTTTCCAAATGGGTAATTCTATATACCAGAATACTTCTACTGATATTTGTCTATAGTCTGTGACATAAATTTAGAGAAGACTGGTACATTTTCTTTAATCTCTACCAGTTCGAGTCTATAAAAAAATTGACAAAGAGTACAGCTCATCAGGTAGTCATTCCCCTTTATCATCTAGCACTTTCCATATAGTAGCCTGTCAATAATTACCTCCAACTGAATAAATGAAGTCCCTCTGAGTGCACTGTTAGACATGGGAGGCAGACAAAGTCTGTAAAAGGTTACGCCCCTCCTTTAAAGGGATGTACAGAATTAGATTGTTACAGTGGAACTAATAGGAATGTCTGTTATGGAAAAGGCTACTCCTTTTTCTTACAGCAACAACATATCTCCATTTAAACAAAATCTGACTAGAGCAATGCACTTCTTAACCTACAACAGAATTGACTAGGTAATCCCTTCTCGAGTACTTAAAGTCTCCCCAATTCACCCCCACTTTATTTTTTATTTTTTTTATTTTTAAATATATTTTATTGATTTTTTACAGAGAGGAAGGGAGAGAGATAGTCAAAAACATCGATGAGAGAGAAACATCGATCAGCTGCCTCCTGCACATCCCCCATTGGAGATGTGCCCGAAACCCAGGTACATGCCCTTGACCAGAATCGAACCTGGGACCCCTCAGTCTGCAGGCCGACGCTCTATCCACTGAGCCAAACCGGTTTTGGCGACCCCCACTTTAAAGTCTCTTCTTTCTAATTGTGCCCCTTTGATTTCATGACTCCGTTGTCCCTAATTGTTTTCTTGCAAGTCAGGAATACTGTCAGCCAATCTTTTCCTTAGTTATAAACAATTAAAAAACAAATTCAAAGCTAAAGAGGGTAAGGGGTTAAGAAACATAATTTTTAAATTAAGAACTGCACAACCTTGAGCCTCTGATTGGTCATGTTCAAGTTATTGTCAGGACAGGATGTTGCTTTAGATGTCTTCCACCTTTATTTTGAGTTACTAAAATCCCACCCAATAGATGGCTTAGAGGCCTCGTCACTGAGATGCATTTTGTATTAATTATGTGAACCACCCAAAATAGGGAACAACTCAGATGAGACCCATGCCAACATCCCTTTACAAACTGCAATTACAGTGGAAAACGTGGGCATTCCTACCAAAGACCTTCATCACATACAGGCAGGTCTTCAACTTTTGCCAAAAAATACAACTTTCTTCAGGCAGGTGTGGCTCAATGGTTGAGCATCGAACTATGAACCAGAGGTCAAGGTTCAAGATTCCTGGTCAGATCACATGCCCTGGTTTCAGGCTAGATTCCCAGTAGGGGGTGTTCGGGAGACAGCTGATCAATGATTCTCTCTACTCTTTGATGTTTTTATCTCTCTCTCCCTCTCCCTTCCTCTCTGAAATCAATACAAATGCATTTAAAAATTTTACCCAAAATACTGGAGTGAGTAAAGAGAAAGAAAAGGAGAGCCGAAACTTCAGTTTCTGCTGCAGGACACACTGAAGTTGTGCTACCGGCTCAGACCCTTCTTGGTGAAGGAGCCTCTTCTCTGAGAACTCCAACGTGTTAGCTACAGCATATTTTAAAGCTATTCACCATGAAAGCCAAGAAACAAAGTCCTCAGGTAAGGCGAGGTGTTTGTAAGAATACATACTCAGGCACAGGTAGCTCCTGAACACAAGGATAGTACGCGGCTGCACAGCTAGGGAACACGGGTGCTTCTGAAGACTCTAACCATGCCACACTGAGCCCAGCAAATTTGGGGACAAACGGTTTGACATCTGCTGACAACTTGATGCCCTGAGGGGGGAAAAGGAGGTTATAGCTACATATATTATGAGATCAACCAAACGTAAACAAACAAAAAAGCCAGTGGCTCCTTTCTAGCAGCTCCTGGAAATAAATGCTAATCTCAGTGCTGTTGTTCAAGTAACTCTGCCTTATACTGAAGATAAGCATTTGCCAACAATTTCTCCCCCAATGCTTTTTTTTTTTAAAGAGAATACTTATTGTTTAAATCCTCACATGAGGGTATGCTTATTGATTTTAGGGGGGGGGGGAGGAGAAGGCAGGGAGCAAGCGAGGGAAAGAAACATCGATGTGAAAGACAGCATGGCTCAGCGGCACCACCCCCTTCTCCCCCACCACTGGGGACCAAACGTGTACAGGGCGATACTCCCCTCCGGGCCCCATTGCTTTTAACTGGAAAAAACAGTCTACCAAATATTAAAAGTGAAAAATAAGGACACCAATTAAATGGGAGTAAAATTCAGCCCAGATTATACAGTAGGACCGCAAGTGGTGTTTCCTTAGCTTCAAACTCGGAACAGGGGCGTTGTATCCCCTTCGGCTGTACCCAGGGATCCGCTGCCGGATCGTAGCACCGTCGGCAATCAACCCACGGGATGCTTACCTGCAGCTCCCAAAACACACCGCGAGTTCGTTTCCCCTGAATTGCTCAAAAAATTACACAAACCATTTGTTTTGTTTTGTTGAAACGCAAAAGTCATTTTGCTAGAAAATCGACCACCAGAGGAACAGGGGAGTAAAACGAGATCTGGGTTCCTAGACGCGCAGTGACAGGTTTACTTCCACTGGCAGCGCTTGAGCACGCGCTCCGCCTTCTGAAGCCACCGTGCGCCGGGCGCCAGCGAGGGCCCCGCTGCGACCGCGAGCGGAGACTCCG